CGAACCTGCCACCTTAGGTGTATGTGGCTGGCGCCTTAGCCGCTTGAGCCACAGGCGCCGAACCTTGAACAGATATTTTTCCCCACAAGTCCAAACTCCCAGTCCACCCTTTCCCCTTCACATGGAGGTCTGAAGTTCTGCCCCCTGCAGAGCACAGAGTGGTTTTGTCCTGAGAGACCTGGGCATAGTGTGGACCGCCAACCACCAGGACGAAATCTGTGACTAATGGGGAAGAAAAAGGGTGTGGGAAGAAAGAGACACTAGGTGGAAGGAGGACCAGTCCCCTTATGACTATGCCCAGCCAGTGGTAGTACTGACCCTTGGTTTGGGCTGTGTCTGGCAGGACAGGATGCAGAACCCCTGGCTCTGACAGCACCCACAGCAGGAGAGTGGTTGCCCCATGTGGACTGAGTTTGGCAGACAGGGCTGGGCAGGATTTGCACTGCCAGAGACAATTGGAACCCGTGTCTGGGGCTGTCTACTCTGGGACATCTTGAAGTCGACCTTTGAAGTTCTATAGGGGAAAAGAACTGAAGGGTGGGGGCTGGGTGCCGCAGCTGTTTGTATCTCTTCACAGTCGAGATTTAAATCTAATAGGGTAGGAGATTTAAATCTAATAGGGTAGTTTCTTAGGATAGAGGAGAGGTTGGCTGATATCAAAACAGAGCTAGCCTATACTATCTCACCAAGGTCCTCAGAGTCTCCAGCCAAAGCTCTGAAAGGGGCCTTTGTAAGGTTGTAGGAGATAAGCCACAATTACAAAGCCTAAAGCTTTGGTAAGGGGCTATCTCTACTACCTGGGAACCCCAATTTAATCACCCTGCCAGTTCTAATAACCAAACAGTAGAAAATAAACATGGTGCGGACCCAAGAGAAGAACTCTGGCAACATGAATAACCAGAGTAGATCAAACCCCCACCCCAAGAAATGACAAAGAAGATACATAGAATAGCAGAAAAGACGGAAATTGAATTCCAAAGAGTAGTTCAAGAAATTAATGAATTCAAAGCCTAAGTCACCAAAGATAGGGACATAATGAGAAAAGAGATAGCAGAGCTCAAGGAAGCGAAAAAGTTAGTTGAGGGACTCCAAAATGCAGTAGAATCCCTCACTAAGAGAGTTGACCGGGCAGAAGAAAGGATCTCTGAAACTGAAGACAAAGCTTTTGAACATTCCCAAACACTCAAAGAAGCAGACAAATGGAGAGCAAAAACTGATCATTCCCTGAGAGAGTTGTGGGATCACTCCAAAAGATCAAACATTTGCCTTATAGGAATTCCCGAAAGAGAAAAGGATGGTCCTAAAGGAACAGATGCTCTACTCCAAGAGATTTTGGAGGAGAATTTCCCAAACATTGCAAGAGATTCAGAACTTCGGATAGCAGACAGTTTCAGAACCCCGGTAAGACTCAATCCAAATAAAGCATCTCCTAGACACATTGTGATTAACTTTGCCAAAGTTAAGATGAAGGAGAAAATTCTGCAAGCAGCCTACAAAGAGAGAAATATCAGAATAACTGCAGATGTCTCAGCCAAAACGTTTCAAGCCAGAAGAAAATGGTCATCAACCTTCAATCTCTTAAAACAAAGCAACTTCCAGCCCAGGATCCTCTATCCAGCTAAACTGAG